CAACGGCGCCCAGTCTTTGCGTGTTACGAATCGACGGTACATCCTATGACCTTTTACGAACATCTTCCAGGTTTCAGAGCGCGGAGAAATTTTGTCAGCGTTTCTGGAGGAAAAACATCTCCCTACATATTTTATCTCGGAATTGGTAAAGTCGGTAGAGGTAGGAAGCCTATCCTTTCGCCAATGTGTGACTCTAATTTGTTTTTTTTTGTATATTTTAGCTTCCTGAGGAGCTGACAGCTGATTTTTCTCGCTTACTGTTCCGTGCGTTGTTCTTTTCCGAGGTATCTGATAATGGTAAGCGTACTTATTCGGTACATCAATTACGAAGTTCTAATTTTTTATTTGCTCAGAGATGGATTCTATATTGGGAACGTTGGCAAAGTTTCCGCCTTGTGAGCTACTTTTGAGAGACATGCTGACAGCTTATATGGAAGAGGTGACGGATGAGGAGAGCCCGCAGCGATTTTCGGTTGAAAAGTTGGTGATTCACTTGCAGATTTGATAGCCAGAAACCTCAAGATTTTTTTCAGGCTGAGGCGGATAGGCATAATCTGTTCGCAGTTGATATACACTGATCGAAGATACTTGCCTCTACTTCCTACTCATGAGGATCTACTGACACTTTTGGGCGTTTTTGATGCGTTTGTGAGTGCCTTTTTATCTTTTTATCTTTATCTGTCTTTTACCTTTCTATCTTTTTAGCTTTTTATCTTCTTCTTTTATTTTTATTCAATCAATTATTCTTATTCTTATTCTTACAACTTCAGACCTTTTAGAATTTTAGCAAACCTCTCAAATATTTGGTATGTTTTTCTATGGTCTTCTTTAGGTACAAAGTGATGTTGTTGCAAAATATGGACTGTTCCCTGATGACACATCGCCTGAGTCGAGTGAAGTGCGAGTTCCCACTACGGAGGAACAGCTCCTGCGTTTTATGGAGAATTCAGCTCGAAAGGCCATGATTTATCTCACTATAGATTGTGAAGGTTTGCCTTTTTTTAGTTTATAAACTACGATTTTTCTTAATCCTATGAGCACGTACCTCAGATAAAGCTCACGATATCTCTTTGGCTTACGCTGCAGCTGTAGTGCCGGTGGTGAATCTGCTGTACGAAACTCGATGGGAGTGTTCACCCCGATCAGAAGTTTTTACAGATTGCATCAAGCTTTGGGAAGACGTATTTCAGGTTATATATAATTTGCTTTTCGCTTACTGCCTGTATTTTTTGGCATTTCCAGAGAACAGCCCTTGCAACACAGAGAGCAATCGCTGCTTTCACTCACCTACCCACGGCTCCTTCCTCAGCTCAACTTGCGCTGCGCGTGCTTTGCGAGAATGGTGCTTCATGGCAGAAAGGCAAAACTGAAGAGAAGAATATTGCATGGTATTGGGCTACATTAAGCGATTGCTCAGGAGTGAAGTTGGAAACAGTGGAGAGGTGGATCAGCAGGTGAGGTTAAAATATGATAGTTTTGACCTGCCATGTTTGGTATCTAGGAGTTCAGGTTCCATGCGGAGAGCGCTATTGAGTTTTTGGCACATATCCATGAATACATACAGAGGAACACACCAGAATGGCAGGATACGATGTTTAGTGGAAGGTAAGAAAGGTTTTAAATTTGAGTTATCGCATTTCATATCACCAAATTCGGAAATGATGAGTAAACATTGTTTTCTATCCAATCCGCTATACTTCAGTGCGCTCGATGCTCCTTCCTACCGGATAAGTTTTCTGTGCCTGCATGCCGCCGTCAGCATCTTTGGTGATATAAGCTTGATTTCGTCCCTAACTCCAGAACTACTCGATTTTATCATGTGTGGAGTGGTTACTGCTATGGATGTGAGTTCTTTTGTGACTCCCGATATTCTTGAGCTGTTTGAAATAGTCTCTCAGAGCTGCGACGAAGCTATTGGAGCAAAAATTCCGAGCAGCCATAAGCTGGAGACATTAGCTGGCTTGTCACTGAAAATGTTTGAAAGATGTGCGAAAACTGCGCTGGAGAAGTTCTGCAACTCACTGGATACGGTGGGTTTACTCTTGGGTAAAAAACGCTTGCCTACTACATAATATTTGTATAGGAATGGCCAAACTTTTTCTTGCCAACAATGTCAAGGATCATTGTACGGTGGTTCACGCTGCTTAATGTCGGTAAGTAACCATACAAACTTTTCGCGTTTGTTGTGTTTGATGTCTTGCTTTTTAGATGCAAAACCAACATTCTTTGTGCGCACGCTGGTAAAAGCTTTGCTTTACCTTAGAGAGCTGCCCGATGATCTATCCCTTAAAAAGAAGCTGAGTCCAGAACTGGATAGATTTGAGTGAGTAAATTTCTTGCTTTTCTATAAAGTTATGGCTCAGTAATTTTTCCTAGATATGATGCTATGCATCAAACACTGATAATTCAAGCAGAGGACCTTGTTGTTTCGGAAAATCCGTTTATCCAGTTTGCAGCTCTACACATGCTCAAAGTGTAAGCCTTTTTTATTCTAGAATGTGCTCTAATCTCATGTCATGAAATTTCAGTTTGACCCCCATAATGTATAGGCAAGAGAACGAGCAATGGACGGAAGAGGAAAAGGTAATGATTAATGATGAGCCATGAAAATGCAGTGTGTGCGAACCTCCCATTTAGGTTAGCGCAACGGGTCCGCGACATCTGGTAGTACCTGACACGCTGTCGAAACTGATTGATGGTACAACCGGCTGGCC